GTCACCCCCTAGCCAGCCAATCGGGATCTCCCTCTTTGCCACCCGCCAGCTTTTTCTCCCACCCTCCCACCCTATAGGTTTTCGTTCTTTGACCTTGCTATGGACCTTGGTTGGTCACCACTGAGGAACCTGGTAGGAATTTTTCCACTTGGCAAATTGACACCAGCCACTTGGTTTTCACCTACCTCATAGCAAATTGTCACAACTTTCTGGATATTGGCAGTTAGGCATTGGTATAGTTCTGTAGATGGAAAGAGAGGAGGTAGTGCCATCACCTGCCCCCCATATTGAAGGGTAGTCCGTTAAAGGATTCTGGGGGGCGTGGCCCTGACTGAAGCCTAGGGAGGTTAGGGACTAAGGCACGCCCCCTATCGGTGACCCTGGAGGAGTTCCTAGTTGATGTGCATCAGCAGGACTCCCCTGACTGGTGGTTAACCCTTCCCAGACTTCAAGCAGACAGGCTGGAGTCGGATATAGTTGGTTAGGACCAATGCCTAAGCCAATACCGCTCATCACCTGTAACCAATAAAGTTGTGGCCTTTTTTAGCCCATTAAACTTAATAATTGCATCATGTGTCATTATTTCCACGTGGGGGGGTCGGGAACTAGCCACGCAAAGTGTATTTGTGCCTGGAGGGGGGGTATAAGGCCATTACATCCAGAGTCTACAATTACCTTACTGCCATTGGGAGATGTTTTGCTCTCCGTGGAATTTGATCCCAGTTTCTCTCCAGCCAACTGGCTGGTTCTCTTGGAAGCTCTCCTTTGAGCAGCGTTTTGGTGACGTTCCGTTTTCATAGGGAAGCTGCCGTTTCAGAGGGTGCGAAGAGGTTTGCCAAAAACCAAGATTGTGCAGACATTACCAGCATGAAACACAGCTAACAATGTAAAAATATTAAGAACATAAGAAGAATGTTGCTGGATCAGGCCAATGGCCCATCTAGTCCAGCATCTTGTTCTCACAGTGGCTATTATTATTATTATTATTATTATTATTATTATACCCCGCTCATCTGGCTTGATTTCCCCGATGCCTGCAAGCAGGATCTGTGGTATTTCCAGCAATTGGTATTCAGAAGTATGTTCAACGTATGTTGAAAATGTTGTCTATAAGAATAAAAGAAAATTATTATAAATTAATTTGGAGGTGGTATTTAACATCAGTTGGATGAAATCAAATAAACAAGGAATATTTGGTGTTATGTTTGAGGGGATGCCGGGCTGAACGATGGTGGTGGAGATGCTCCTTCAGGTATACTGGGCTGAGGCCGTTTAGGGCTTTAAAGGTCAACACCAACACTTTCAATTGTGCTGTGGGATTAAAATTGGCCACAACTTTATTATGTTTTAGATGTGGATAGACCTTGGCTCAGGCATTGGGCGTTCATCCCTCCCAGTCCCTCACCTGGGATCTGGGGAACATCAGGGTTATCCAGAGGGGGGGTTATGGGCAGGCTCTGGAGAACATGTTCAGGCAGAGAGAGCCCACCCCCGTTACGCCGCCGTCGCAGGGGAGAGCAACGACAACCTCTAAACTGTGAGGGGAGAGACTCCATGAGGCAAGGCCTCCTTCCATCTGCCTTGCCCCACCCTCTAGTCTCTGCTTCTCAGTTTGTATTGTATTATTTCATGTACTGAGGCTTGCCGGTTTTTTATTGATTATAATTTAGAAATTATTTATTGTAACTGTTGAGTGGATTTCTGTTTAACTTTTATATGTTATTATTATTTAATATTATTCTAATGATTGTTGATTGTTACTTTTTGATGTAGGTTGCCTATTTTAAAGTTATGTTTTATTATCACATTTTTGTATTGAATTAGGTTGTTATAAGATGTACATTCTTTTTTCTTCAGCTTGTAAACCGCCTTGAGTACTGTAAGATAGAAAGACGGTATACAAATTAAAAATGATGATGATGATAGGCGTATGGCCAAAGCCTCCCCTCAAACAACCCCTTTAACGGGGAACCCTGGTATCGCAGTCCCAAAGAGGAGGGGGGCGGGGGTCACCTCTGCACGTCCCCCCCCCCATTTAGGGAAAATAGACTAAAGGATTCCGCCCTAAAATCCTCCCCAAATTGTGTGGGCAGGTGGTCCCTCCCCCTACCTGGCCTGATCACCTTGGCAACGCCTCCCCAGGCGGGATTGGGCAACTGGCTGAGGTAGGCGGAAACCTCCAGGTATCCCACCTGGGGAAGGCCAAGCCAAGCCTGTGCCAGTGGTGCCACATAGCGTCCAGGGGGCTGCGTGTAAATACGCAAAGGGCGCCCCCCACCCATTTAATGTGGGGAGCGGTCATTCCTGCATCCCTTTCAACTCTATGATTCTTTTAAAGCCATCCACTGCTTCCTGCTGGAGGGAGTTCCATAGTTCAGCTACATGCTGCGTGCTTTCTTTTACCTGTCTGAATTTTCGAACCTTCAGCTTCTGGCCCTGGGAGGCTTGGTAAGACAGCTGCTCTGCTCCAGAGGAAGAACTGCGAGGGGAGAGAGACCTTCTATTCCTCATCAGTCAACGGCGTTTCCATCTGCCTTCCCCGACCCAGCCTTTCCCTGACCATGACTTCGAGAGCAGCAGCAGCAGCTGGGAAGAGAGGAGTTCAGAGATAGATAGATGCATTTTTAATAGTTTTATGTGTGTCCTCATTCCTCAGTTTGATCCATTTACATGGTTCTGTATGCTTTGCGGTATTTTATGCATTGCGATTTGCTGGGGGTTTTTACATTGATTATAGAGATTGGTAATTCTTTATTGTGGCTGATAAGTGTAAACTGTTTAATTATCATTTGCTGATGTTTAATTTTACTGTTTACTATTAGATTCTGATGGCTTGTTGAATGTCGTTTTGTTTGATATAAGTTGTTTATTTTAAATCTATTGTGGCTTTTTACATTGGATCAGATTGTTACTATTAATGCTTGATGTTTTTATATGTGTTGGAAGCTGCCCAGAGTGGCTGGGAAAACCCGGCCAGATGGGCGGGGTACAAATTAAAAAATATTATTCTTATTCTTATTATTATTACTTGGATGTCCACGGGAAAAAACAAACTTTTCTCTATCCTTTTTCTCCGTTCCATGAATAATCCTTTAAACTCCTATCCTGTCACTTTTTGTTCACCTAAAAAGGCCCAAACACTGCAACCTTCATAGGAGAGTCGCTGCATCCAATTGATTGTTTGGGTTGCCTTTTTCCAGGTTGTTCTTAACTCCGATTGAAGCTACCCGTAGTTTCTTTTTCGGGGGGCTGGGGCACACCAGCATGCAACATTTCTATAAGAAATGACAGGATAGAAACAGGATAGCTATGGTGGTCTTGTAGTGAGGTTAAGGCTTACTGGAAAATGACATACAATGAAATGAAAAGGATGTTTAAAATAACATTTGAAAAAACAACAACAAAAAACCCCTTAAGCCTTTTTCTTTGGAATTATACGGACAGAACTACCAAAATTGTTTAGAAATTTATTCATACAGCGACAACAATGTTACTTGCCTCAAAATGGAAAGAATAAGAAGTCCCAGCAAATGAAGAATGGATCCAAAAACTTGTGGAATATGCAGAAATGGTGAAACTTACCAGAAGAATGGAAGTGGTTAATTGAGTATTTACATACGATTTGTAAACAGATAAAAACACTGGCAAGATTATTGTAACAACCTGCAGCCACATAAGGGTATATATTTAAAGAAGATAAATAAATGAGCAGCTTAAGTTAATTTGGATATGCAGAAGATATTAAAAATAAATTTAAGGAACCGCAGGAAGAAGGGGAAGGAAGTCAAGTCCTTTAAAATGTCAAAATGACTGTAAAATCGGTGAAATGTATATATCTGAAAAGTATAAACAAAATTTAGAAAGAGGATAGCTATGGATTGTGAGTTATGTTGTATGTACACCGATTCCCAAACCCAGCAGTGGGAGCGCACTGAATGCAGAGTAAGCAGCAGTGTGTACACAACCAAAAACAACCTTCGTTCCACAATTTGTTTTACACCTTTTAGTAGCCACCATTTCCTCAATCTGCTGCTGCCTCGGCCTGGTGGGGTTTTTTTAAGCTCAAAAGGACATTGTACTCTTTCCCCTGCTCCTAAACCTGTTGCTGTGAGATGAAGCGCCTGCTAATGTACATTGGAGCATGCCTCGTAGCACAACCTTTCCCCGTGGCACATAAATGCTTCACTTTAAAAACAAGTGTGGGATCCTAAGGACTCCTTTTCATTAGAGGTTTTAAAAGAGAGACTTGATGGCTGCTTAGAATGGTAGAGTTGGAAGGTAACTTTTGTGAAAAGACCAGAAGCCTTTTTTTAGGCATTTCAGGTCAAGAATTACCAAAAGAAAAGGAAAAAAAACTCTTTATCTATGCTACCTTCTTATCGGCAAGCCCAAGAGGCTCAGTGGTTTAGTCCACAGCGCCACCCACATCCAAAAAAAAAATTTAAAAAAATAGGTATATATCTGGTATGTAAAGGTAAAGGTAAAGGGACCTCCGACCATTATGTCCAGTCGTGGCCGACTCTGGGGTTGCGGTGCTCATCTTGCTATATTGGCCGAGGGAGCCGGCATACAGTCATGTGGCCAGCATGACTAAGCCGCTTCTGGCGAACCAGAGCAGCACACGGAAACGCCGTTTACCTTCCCGCCAGAGTGGTACCTATTTATCTACTTGCACTTTGATGTGCTTTCAAACTGCTAGGTTGGCAGGAGCAGGGACCGAGCAACAGGAGCTCACCCTGTCATAGGGATTCAAACTGCCAACCTTCTGATCAGCAACTCCTAGGCTCTGTGGTTTAACCCACAGCGCCACCCACATCCCACTATCTGGTATGCACTAGGAGGAAATTCTAAAGAATAGGTGCCACCACAGTAAAGTCCCTATTCCTATGTCATACAGAACAGATCTCCTGAAGAGGAGGTGTCTGCAGGAATCATAGAATTGGAGAGCTGGAAGGGACCACAAGGGTCATCAAGTCCCACCCCCTGCAAGGCAGGAATCTTTTGCCCAAGGTGGGGGTTCAAACCCACGACCCTGAGTTTAAGAGTCTCATGCTCTACTGACTGAGCGGTGGACAACCAGCTATGTACGCGGGTGAGACAACCTTCCTTTTTACAGCAATGGTGCACCAAGCATTACAATGCCTCCGCCGTATCTCTAGCTGCGTCCTTGATCAAGCAAGGAAATGTTCCAAGTCCCGTATTCAATGTCTCCTTTGTTGGGCTGAAAGCAGCTCCAGATGGCTGGTTCAGCTAGGTGGGCTGGCACGGTTGCCCGAATTATTAAGAAGAGAATTGGCTCTGCCTGGGTGCAGTCAGGGAGTAAATGTACCATTGGCGAAACAAGAGCTCCCTGTTATTTGCCCCGGCAAGATCACCTTGAGAAGAAGTAAGCATTTCTTTGGGGGTTACGCCCCCTCTAAATTTGATATGGTGCAGCACAATTTGCTGTTCACATCAATGTCAACAGCCTAAAACTGGAGTAGCCCTCCAGAAATTCCTGGGCTCACCACAGCCAGTATCCAGAGATTTTGGGATGCGGAGCCCAACCAAATCAGAAGTGCACCCCATTGGCTACCCCAGTCCAAAACAATCATGATTTAAAAAAAAAAACAGTAGCCCAAACATAAGAAGAATGGTTGGCATCCACCTGTCTCGGGAGTCCACAGAGGAGTGCACCTTTGTGGATGAAGTCAAACCATTGGGACATTGCAGTACCTGCTGTGGCTGCAAAGACTGGTGTGGGAGAGAGATGTTTTGTTGCAGCTGGGGAAGATGAAGGTGTCTGGTTGGGCTGCAGCAGGGCCGGATTGAGGTTTGACGAGGCCCTAAGCTACTGAAGGTAATGGGGCCCTTTATATGTCCAGCTGTCCTTTGTCAACAACAAATTGCCGCTGTTTTTTTGTGTTGAATATATGCTGTGTTGTGTTGAATAAATACGGCCCTGGTCCTAGTTCAGCGCTCTAACCACTACACCAGTCTGAGTCGTTTTGGCTATGCATAAGTAACAGCGCTCACACCCCGAACGTCGGAAATACCGGTAGAAGGAATTATTAAGATCCTGGAGGGGGAGAAAACGTAACTGGCTTTGCCCGGTGCTGAAAGGGCAGCAAAGCAGTTAACCTGTACACATCCATACAGTCATTCCCCAGTAATGTGTGCAGTGGGTGTACATTCTGCCTACCCCAGTAACTCAAGAGTTGAGATGTACAGTTCAACAAGTGTAAGCTCTTTCACACAATGAATGAATGAATGAATCTTTATTTGCATCAGCCATAGCAATAAAACAGCAATACGATATACAAAGAATAAAAAAATAAAGTCAATTATATAAAATACATTTTAGGGTTTTGAATCAATAGTGAAATAGTGGATCTTATTCTGGTTGCCTCAGCTAAAAACCTTGATGTCTTTGCTGTCACCTGCTCATTTTGATCTGTCAAGAGAAAGGACAGTGTGGCAGTGGTTGCGTGGCCCAGAATGGACAATAAAATAGGGGTGGTAATCTCATTCCTCAAAGCTTTGTAAAGAATGCAAGCCAGAAGGGCATGTGCCACTGATTAGGTACTGCCATCTTCGCAGGGACATAAGTTTTTTTTGTGTGGAATCTGTTGGAATCGTCCCTCAAGTACAGCCGAGGGCAATACATTTAATCTTGCGAGAGTAAAAGCATGTCTATATTTTATAATTGCTAGGTTATGCAGATAGGGTGCCAGAGAGTCGAATACCATGGGCGAAATTTCTTTATTGTGGCCAAGTTGTTCTGACTCTTGAGAACAACTCAAGAGGTGTTGACAAATTTGACTGCTTGCTTTACTAAAACCCAAAGTGAGTTATGTTGTGGTGATAAACCACAAGAGTGAAGTTTTTGATAGACAATTTTAGTCCAGGCGCTCTTGTGACAATCCTGCTGCACTGGGGATATTAGACCGGGGGGATTTGAGTTTAGGCGAAGCCAATAGTTAAGTGCTCTATGCCAGATCCATAATTCTACTGAGGGAAGATTAGTCTCTAGGTGCAATGATGCGTTTGGGACACAGGGTGGTACAGAGAAAATTTGCCTTAAGAACTTTGATTAGACAGCTTCTGTAGACCCAAGGTGAGGTTCACACAAAGACTTGCACGTGCGTAACAAAGAGCCTTGTACCTCGGTTCAGTGTAACATGCAAGCGAGGCTTTGCTACAGAGTGGAGAGCTCCAACCATCATTGCACAAAAAGTCTTATTGTTGGTTTTGTTGTGTGTGTGTTTTATTATACAGGGTAGCCTTCTCATTCCGTAGGTGGCATTGGGATAGAGGGCTCCATCTCCCTAGTTGGCAAGGATTGTGTTGTTCTTCCATTTTCTCCAAGTGCCTAGCACACTTGCTTGACCTCAATGAAGTCTAATAACTGGTAGTAGTAGAAGATAGTAGTAGTGGAGGCAGCCTTGTGTGCATTTAATCAGATCCCCTGACCTAAATCAAGGAAGACGAAAAAAGAACAGGATTTGGTGGTGGAAATAAAAGTTTATTTGCTGCAACCCAAATCGATGCTGTTTTCTAATTTCTTCCAAGAAGTCATTAAGCACTAACTCAAGAGAAAATCTCCCAATCAATGAAGATGGAGGAAAAACAGCTTTTCAGTAATTAATTGCCACTAACGGCTTCTGGGTTAATGACAACAATGTGGTGAAAGCAACAAGAAGGGGAAAGCAATGATGTGCCAACTATCGCAGATGTCTGGGCCCAGCACCAGCCCTTGGCTTTCTTGGGTAAATGTCTACCAAGGCCTGGTCTGGGCTCCCTGTTAATATTATGTTTCCCATAGTGCAGCTGAACGCCAGGACAGCATTCACACTACATGATCATGCTTTAAACCATCATGGCTTCCACCAAAGAATTCTGGGAGCTGTAGTTTGTGAAGGCTGCTGTGAGTAGTTAAAGGTAAAGGGACCCCTGACCATTAGGTCCAGTCGTGGACGACTCTGGGGTTATGGCGCTCATCTTGCTTTACTGGCTGAGGGAGCCGGTGTACAGCTTCCAGGTCATGTGGCCAGCATGAGTAAGCCGCTTCTGGCAAACCAGAGCAGCACACGGAAACACCGTTTACCTTCCCGCCGGAGAGGTACCTATTCATCTACTTGCACTTTGACATGCTTTCAAACTGCTAGGTTGGCAGGAGCAGCGGGAGCTCACTCCATCGCGGGGATTTGAACCGCCGACCTTCTGATCAGCAAGTCCTAGGCTCTGTGGTTTAGACCACAGCGCCACCTGCATCCTACTGTGAGTAGTTAGGAGGCCTCATTCCTCTCACAAGAGGGGCCCAAGAGTTGAGTATGAGGAAGAGGCCGCCTGTTGGCTGGAGCACCACGGTGGGCTCTTCTGCTGCGGGCGGCTCTGCGCCATGAGTTTGGGGGCAACCGAGCCAGCAAAACGCTGAGGAAAGCCGGCCGGCTCCGCCCTCCTGCGCGCCTGGGACTGGGCAACCTGGGGGGGGGGGAGCCAGGTGGATCTTTGAACCAGGTGTCACTTATGCTTAAGACAGCCCTGGGGCTCTGGATTCAGTGGATCCAAGACCCCTCATTTTGTGGACTTCCACCTCCTTCTTACTTCTTCCGAGTAAGACTGTCTTCCATAAACACAGTTTTGACAATGAGTCTGTAAGTGACTGTGGAGGCCAATTCTGGATCCGCACGTCCTTCCACAGTGGGGACATTGGTTTCTGGGTGGAAGTTGATCACGGTGTGGATTTGCCAAGTGTGCCTTCCTCTTAGCACGTTTCTCCCTTGCATCCTGAATTCGAGTGTCATCAAAGCCCATGACACCTTTGGTAAAGGCTGTTCTCCAACTGGAGCACTCACAGGCCAGTGTTTCCCAGTTGTCAGTGTTTATACTACTTTTTTTAGATTTGCCTTGAGAGAGTCTTTAAACCTCTTTTGTTGACCACCAGCATTACGCTTTCCATTTTTAAGTTTGGAATAGAGTGGTTGCTTTGGAAGACGATCAACATCAACTTCGTTGGACTGGTCTTCCACCAGAGGAAACATTACCAGAGGTACATCTATCTCCTCTGTGCTTTCTACAGGAGTTCATGTAAACTCAGGGGCAAATGTGTCTCTCCACCCCATAGGTAGTCTCTATGGGAGTATATTGTATTTAATTATAGGGTATCAGAGTTTTTAGGGGGCTAAACAGGCTGGGATAGCTGGGATAGCAGGCTTGTTGGTTTTGAATGCCTGATGTAGATTTTTTCAATGTCATTGTTCTGTATGGGACAATGACAATAAAGATTATCGTATCGTATCGTATCGTATCCTTCTTAAACTCCTACAGTCAAGAGATCTGGAAGACAGAATTGCTCAGTCATACCTTTCAGGCAAGCTTGGGCTACTGATCTCTTAGCCTTGGGGAAGGGGATATTATGTTTAAATTACCTATTGATAATTTTTTATTCTTAACAGCCATCTTGGATGGCCTGTTGCCGGGCAGAAAGGTGGGATACAAATATTTCAAACCAACTCATCAATAAGAATTGTTAACAATTTTGTTTAGTTCCAGCTTGGATCAAAAGCCCCTGGGAAAGAATCTAGTTCCAACATTTCTGTATCAATGCACTACTGGTTTGGTGCCCCTGAAACTAATGGGGAGAAGTCAGTGTTGATGCCGTGCACTTTTGTTGCAACTTTCTGATAAGTCATTATCTCCAACCCCTGACATATCACTTTATTTCTAAATTGCATTTTATAGTTATTCAGTGCAGGAATGAGATACGTAACAACAGCCTTCAGCTTTCATTGCCTCTCTTTGTTGTTGAAACTTTTTCTTCCGTTCATGTATTATTGTAATTTTAAAAGTTAGAATAAAGGTTTGGCAGGTAAGAGGGAGTTGCAATGGAATGATGGTTCCTTGTTTCTTTGACAGCTGGCAAACTCTGAAGCAAGTCCGTGTTTTGTGCTGAACATCGTTCCCAGGGAGGTGCCAATTCTACAGCAGCCCACAGAGCTTGTGGGGGGCGGGAAATCTCCCTTAAAAACCCCAGCAGGCATAGTGTGCTGAACATGCAGAGAGAAAGTGATCAGGTGTTATGGGTTAAATAAAAA